GCTCCTCCACTCCTGTCCGCTGAGTGGAAAAACCACCCATTTCACTCAATAATTCCTGAGCACCAATGTCCTCCTCTACCTCCTCCTCTTCTTCCTGTCCTGCCCCCACAGGGGTCATGTGGCGTTGAGATCTGTGCGCCACGTCTACCGCACCCTGACCAGCCATTGTTAACAGCATTTGTTCCAGGACGTGCAACAGAGGAATGACGTCGTTCATCCCATAGTCCTGCCGACTCACGAATAGCGTGGCCTCCTCAAAGGGCCTGAGCAAGCGGCAGGTGTCACGCATGAGCTGCCAATGGCTGACATCTAAGTTACACAGGGGAGTACCTTTATCCGCTTGTAACATCAGAAATCGGTGATGGCCTTTCGCTGTTCGTAAAGGCGGTCTAACATATGTAGGGTTGAATTCCACCTTGTTGCAACGTCGCAGATCAGGCGATGCTGTGGAATTCCGTTCTGCCGCTGCAGCTCAAGGAGGGTGTGCTTTGCGGTGTAGGAATGGCTGAAATGCATGCAAAGTTTACGTGACATTTTAAGGATGTCTTGCAGTGGGATGGTGGATTTTAGGAACCGCTTGACAACCAGATTGAACACGTGAGCCATGCATGGCGCATGGCACAACCTTCCTTGACGCAGAGCAGACACCATGTTCTTTCCGTTGTCGGTCAACATGGTTCCGATTTTCAGTTTGCGCGGAGACAGCCATCTGTCGATTTCTCTGTTCATTACACTCAGAAGTTCCTCCCCTGTGTGACTACGTTCGCCAAGGCATACCAGGTGCAGCACAGCGTGACACCGTTGCGCCCTGCACATGTGATATGCCGGTCGGGTAATGGGACTTGGCACGGGGGTGGCGGCTGAGGACACGGCGGAAGAAGAGGTGGTAGAGGCGGACATCTTTGCTGGACCAAGGACGTGCAAACGTGGAGGCAAAAGCGGCGTGACCTGTCCAAGTTGCTGGTGCGGCTGTGCCGGCACCACGTTCACCCAGTGGGCCGTAAATGACATGTACTGTCCTTGACCGTAGTTACAGCTCCACACGTCGGCGCTGCCGTGCACTTTGGCAGAGACCGACATGCTCAAAGACTGGCCCACCATCTCTTCTACATGTGAATGCAGGGCTGGCACTGCCTTTTTGGCGAAGAAATGCCGGCTTGGCACTCTCCACCGCGGCTCGGCACAAGCCATCATTTCTCGGAAAGGTGCTGAGTCCACCACTTGGAAAGGGAGGGACTGCAGCACCAGCAACTTGGACAGGAGGACGTTCAGCTTCTGCACCGTCGGGTGCGTGCTCGCAAACTGTTGTCTCTTGGAAACGGATTCCAAGAAAGACTGCTGACGGAATCCGTGAAGAGGAGTAGCAGGAGAAGGAGCATCTGAACGAGCGGAAGATGCCAACGAGCGACAACTCCCCTCAGCAGAGGTGTTGGAGCCTTGACTGGCTGATAGAGGGCGATTGACGTCGGGTGACGGAGCAAGTAACGGAGCGGGTGATGGAGCGGGGGGCTGGGGCAGGCAGAACCGCCGTATCTTTATCACGGTTTTCCCAGGCCACCGAATGGCGACGCTGCATATGCTGACGCAACGCTGTAGTCCCAACATTGGCCCCCTGGCCACGCTTGACTTTCTGGCCACATAGTCGACATACGGCTACGTTTACTTCCTCGGGCAGCTTGACGAAAAATTGCCACACCGCCGAGTAGGAAACTTTGCCCCCGCTACTCCTCACTGGCTGACTGCTACTTCCTCCGTGCACACCGGCACCACTACTGGCCGTGGTGGTAGGCTGCAGTGGAGCTGTGCTCTACTCCGTGGCCGTTTGGCTCCACTGACACTGCTGCGACCCTGCTGCCTCCTGGGCAACCCACCGACTGTTTTGCTCGCTGGCAAGCTGGCACCCTCTTCTCCTGATGATGCGGAAGCAATAGCCTGATGACGACGAGGCTGCCAAGTGCGATCAGCCTCATCATCATCAATTAGGGTCTCCGCCTCACTACTAGCCCCCTCGGCTGCGTGTGGGTCAGGAGACAGACCTGTCTCTAGACCGGCTACCGAGCCACACTCCTCGCCAGTACTTCTTCGCCTGGCTGCTGAAGAGGCGGATGTCTCCCCCCGTTCCTGACCGCCCTCTGTTAGCTCTTCCTCACTGTACAGTGGGGCTGAGCCCACAGCATGCGATACTTCGCTTGGTGAGGGAACACCAAAGGACAGGGGCAGGTCGAGGACACGTGATTTCAGTGGGCTTGCTCCCGGGCCATGCCAACTAACGGTTTGTGTCTGACGTACCCACCGACCGTTGGCTGTAGGTGTCAGAGGTGACCTGGGAAGAGGAAGACGACCAAGTCAACCAATCGATGACGGCAGGGTTGGCGGTGGAGACACGACCGCTGGATGACACCGGGAGCACTGGCCTCTGGCTGCGACTAGTGCTGCCTCGACCCCTTCCTCTGCTGGCACGTCTGCTCGCTCCTGAAACATTGCCTCCTCTGCCACTCCTCTGCGTGTTGTCTGACATACTCTTTAATTCAATAAGCACCCCAAAAATAAAACCGGATTTAACTCTTTGAACGTACAATAGTGGTTGTGAAGCAGAAAGTCAGTTTATTTAGCCCAATCGGTCAATTGCAGCTTGCCGTTGGCTGTAAACTGTACGTTTATGTCACTGGAATGCACTAATCACCCAAAAAATATTACCGCCACCCGGCGTGTAAATGGATTTAACTCTTTGAACGTACAATAGTGGTTGTGAAGCAGAAAGTCAGTTTATTTTGCACAATCGGCAAACTGCAGCACCAACTGTGCACGACAGCCACCAAAAAAAAAAAAAAAAAAAGGGTGTATGTCACTTTAAATTTTCGATTCTTTAATAGCTGTGGCCCTAAGTAACGATTCTGTGTCCCTGAGTAACGATTCTGTGGCCCTGAGTAACCATTCTGTGGCCCTGAAGTCTCTGTGGCCCTAACTCTGTCCCTTAATACACACAGGTCTGTCTCTCTTGAATGACCGGAGGCTAATGGAGAATTCTAAGATGGCCGCGATTTATAGCTCCACCATTACACAATGCTGGCTGGCTGCTGATTGGCTAATGCGATCACATGTCATGAATGCATTATGGGTCAGCGCGCCTTGTCTGCGCGCCTTCCCAGAGATCCCCGCCCCATCTTCTCTGTCCATTTTCTCCGTCGCCACACATGTCGCCGCCATTTTTGGGAAAATTCGATTCGTGCATCCGAAGTTTGCTAATCTTCGGATTCGTCGCGAATAGAATTTTTCCAAATCTTCGGAACAAATTCCACTTCGTCATGTTCGATTCGCTCATCTCTACCGATGAGGTTAAAATTGAACTTTTTGGCTGGAATGAGCAAAGGTACGTTTGGAGAAGAAGGGGCACAGAATTGAATGAAAAGAACCTCTGTCCAACTGTTAAGCATGGGCTTGGATCAATCATGCTTTGGGGTTGTGTTGCAGCCAGTGGCACAGGGAACATCTCACGAGTAGAAGGAAAAATGGATTCAATAAAATTTCAGCAAATTTTGGATGGTAACTTGATGCCATCTGTGAAAAAGCTGAAGTTAAAGAGAGGATGGCTTCTACAAATGGATAATGATCCTAAACACACCTCGAAATCCATGGGAGATTACATCAAGAGGCGTAAACTGAAGGTTTTGCCATGGCCTTCACAATCTCCTGACCTCAACATAATTGAAAATCTATGGATAGACCTTAAAAGAGCAGTGTGTGACAGACAGCCCAGAAATCTCAAAGAACTGGAAGACTTTTGTAAGGAAGAATGGGCAAAGATACCTCAAACAAGCATTGAAAGACTCTTGGCTGGCTACAAAAAGCGTTTACAAGCTGTGATACTTGCCAAAGGGGGCAGTACAAGATATTAACTCTGCAGGGTGCCCAAACTTTTGCAGACGCCATTTTTTTGTTTTCTGTTATTTTGAAAGTGTAAATGATGGAAATAAAATCTAACTTTTGAGGACATATTATAAGAATGTCTAATCTGTAATTTGATGCCTTTTGGAGATTTTTCCATCTTTCCTTGGCTTCTTTATGCACATTAATACAAATTTTTAGCTGGGGTGCCCATACTTTCGATCCCCACTGTATCTGTAAACACTGCAGAATTCATCCGGCTGCTTCTGTCACATCATCAATAAAACACCAATGACCCAGTGCTACTGGAAGCCATTCATGCTCATGCCATCAAACTGCCTCCACCATGTTTTACAGATTTTTTTTACTTATCTCCCCCCCCCCACCATCACATAGGGGACACAAAGTCCCCTATGTGATGAATTTCAAGTGACAAGGTCCTCTTTATTGAGACATCCAGGATCTAAAAAGACTTGGTCCTGCACACCTGCCACAGCCACCTGTGTCAAAAACCCCCTGCTGTCAGGTCTGTACAAAAGGATTAAAATGGGAAAAGTGCCCCCCCCCCCCCCTTTAACTTGTAAAACATGTCATAAAGATGAATCAGTTTTTTGAATTTCTTAATTTAACAAAATATTGAAGCAATTAGGCTTGGTCCACATCTGTGCAGGTAGTGACGCTGCGGAACCCACACAAATACCTGCAGCCACACCACCCACACAAAGGAATGCGGCACCTGTGGGCGGGTGCCATTAATGCTAACGGCACACCGCTTGCAGTGGAAATCACAACCGTACTGGGAACCTTGGTTCCTGTGCGGGCTGCAATTTCCAAAGTGCAGGGACTTCATCCTTGCATGTCCCAGGGAACAGGAGTCCATTCAAATTAATGGGCTCTCGTGCCTGTACAAACTGTGGCCCTCACGCCCGAACATATGGCAGTTCTTTAATATATTTTTACGTTATGATAGATGCTGCAAAAAGTTACTGGGTACAAACATGTCAGGGCCTGTCAGCAAAATGCTCACAACATGGCTAAAGCGACTGCCATGTGAAAACTACTAGATGACCTACTTGAACACACTCTCTCTCTCTCTCGCCAAAAGTATTGGGCCCCCCCTCCAAATCATTGGATTCAGGTTACAATCACCTCCATAGCAACAGGTGTGTAAAATCAAGCACCTAGGCATGCAGACTGCTTCTACAAACACTTGTGAAAGAATGGGTCGCTCTCAGGAGATCAGTGAACTGAAGTGTGGTACTATGATAGGTTGCCACCTGTGCAATAAGTCCATCCGTGAAATTTCCTTGCTACTAAATATTCCAAGGTTAACTGTTAGTAGTATTTTAACAAAGTTGAAGCAACTGGGAATGAAAGAAACTCATGAAGTGGTAGGCCATGTAAAATGACAGAGTGGGGTCAGTGCATGCTGAAGCACACAGTTTGCAATAGTTGCCAATTGTCTGCAGAGTCAATAGCTAAAGATCTCCAAATTTCCTGTGGCCTTCAGATTAGCACAACAGTGTGTAGAGAGCTTCATGGAATGGGTTTCCATGGCCGAGAAGCTGTATCCAAGCCTTACATCACCAAATGCAATGCAAAGCAGTAAATACAGTGGTGTAAAGCACGCCGCCACTGGACTCAGAGAATCACAGTTCTCTGTCTGGTAATCCGATGGACGTGTCTGGGTTTGGTTGTTGCCAGGAGAACGGTACTTAGCTGACTGCACCGTGCCAAATGTAGGTGGAGGAGGGATTAAGTTTGGTGGAGGAGGGATTATGGTGTGGGGTTGTTTTTCAGGGGTTGGGCTTGGCCCTTTAGTTCCAGTGAAGGGAACTCTTCAAGCATCAGCATACCAAGACATTTTGGACAATTTCATGCACCTAACTTTGTGATAACAGTTCAGACAATTTCATGCTCTCAACTTTGTGGGAACAGTTTGGGATGGCCCCGTCTTGTTCAACAAGACTGCGCACCAGTGCACAAAGGTCCATAAAAGACATGGATGAGCGAGTTTCGGGTGGAGAAACTTGACTGGCCTGCGCAGAGTCCTGACCTCCACCAGATAGAACACCTTTGGGATGAATTAGAGCAGAGACTGCGAGCCAGGCCTTCTCGTCTGACATCAGTGCCTGACCTCACAAATGTGCTTCTGTTAGAATGGTCAAACATTCCCATAGACACCCTCCTAAACCTTGTGGACGGCCTTCCCAGAAGAGTTGAAGCTGTTATAACTGCAAAGGGCGGGCCAACTCAATATTGAACCCTACGGACTAAGACTGGGATGCCATTAAACTTCCTGTGCGTGTAAAGGCAGGCGTCCCAATACTTTTGGCAATATTGTATATATAAAATCTCAAAGCTCAGAAAACAGAAGAGAAATCTATACATTTATTTATTCCAAAAAGCTAGAATGTACTTGTAAATTCAGGATTGCAATGCTCGCTGACAGCATGTTCAGAAAGCTGCTATTTGTAATGTGCATCCTAAAATCAGGCAATTTGCTCACCTGTTAAATTTACCACACCTCCGGGTCCAATGAAAAACTGTGGTGTAGCAGTGTGTATCGTTACAGTGTCTGGGCTTTCAGGATTTGTGTTAATTTGGTTTTGCATTGCAATCTAAGTAAAAAAAGAAAGTACAGACTTCTGTTAGAAAAGAAAATATTTAAGGTAAAAGAACAGATGATACTGAAAAGTACTGGAAAATACCTGTAGTATTTCTGCGATATCATCATTTCCATTGTCCACAGAGATATCAAATGCGGTTTTACAGAATTTGCTCTGACTATGAACATCTGCTCCATATTTTATCAAAAGCTCTACAACTTCCTGATGGTTGTGTTCTGTTGCCCAGTGAAGAGCCGTCATCTTCAGCATGTCTTTGGCATTGATGTCAGCACCGTGCTACAAATACAAAATCTGTTACTACAGAGGACACACTTTGGTTGCATGCAAAGATGCTTGCCCCCTACAAGGCACAATGTACAAAATAAAGTTTAGTTACCCACAATCAATACTGGCTATCAAAACAAAATTAAACCTTTAAATTAAAAAATATACACATGTATGTTTACTAGCTGTGGCACAACCCATCAGTCTTCATCAGTGATTTCAAGCCATTGACCCTCTTGCTGCCAGGGCTATTTTTTGCAAACATTTAAAAAAAAAAATTTAATATTTTCTGAAAGCAGAGACCCTGGAGTATTAAATGGTGGTTGTTCCAATTTAATGTACACAAGAGAACAAATTGTTAATGAAGCACAAATTTTCAGTAATAAATATACCAGTTAAAGCAAAACTAAAGATTCTTTTTTTTTGGGGGGGGGGGGGGGGGGATAACAAACATGTCTATACTCACCTGCTGTGTTTAGTGGTTTTGCACAGAGCAGTCCGGGATCCACCTCTTCTCGGGTCCCCCGCAGGCTTTCCTGGCTCCTCCTTTCTATAGGGTGCCCCCATAGCAAGCTGCTTGCTATGGGGGCACTCGCTGCTCCGTGTGTTCATTCACACACGGAGCTGCGGCTTGGCCCTGCCCTCTCTCTCTCTCATTAGCTGACTGGCAGTGATTGATTGACAGCAGCAGGAGCCAATGACTGCTGCTTGATGTCTCAGCCAATGAGGAGGCAGAGACCCGGGACAGCTTGATGGGGCTCAGGTAAGTATTGAGGGGGATGGGGGCACTGCTGCACACAGAAGGTTTACCTTCATGCATAGAATGCATGGAGGTAAAAAAACCTTGAGCCTTTACAACTGCTTTAATTTTAGGATCTGCCAACACAATTTGTTACATAATACAAAACATTTAGTTGTGCCAAGTAAATACCAAAGCCTTAAAATTGCATGCACCTGTGAAACGGCAACCTTTAGTGTCCAAAATTTCCTATCAATGTTTTAAAAGCTCCGTTAGCTTCTTCCCCAGGTACAGTAAACAAACAAAGGGACAGCCAAACCCAGAGGTGGCATAATACATGTGTATTCTAAGCAGGGAAGATCAGCGAACGTATGCACTATGGGGATGCTGTCGAGGGCAGGCAGTCAGATGTCTTTCACCGGAGAGCCATCTTGTGCCATTTACACATTTTACTGAAGCAGTTGAGGCAATTAGCAAAACTCTCCTGCTGCCAATGTGACATACCTTGATGGCAGTGGATGGGTTAGTGAGCACTTTTAATGCTGTAGATTTATGGAAAAATTAATTAACAATACCATTAAAGTGTACTTGTACTAGCAATATAAATTTCAGCGAGCGCTAGACACTGAATAGTAGTCTCCATGAAGTTCCTATTTATATTCATATTGTAAGATAAAACCCTCTCAATACCCCACGTACCCTACAGGAGTCCCTTAAAATACAGACTTTGCTAAAGTCATTATTTGCATAACCTCAGGTACACACCCACCTGAAAGACTTTAGGCCTGGGACAAAGCGCTGGATCATATGATGGTAGTTCCTCTACCAGAAGATGGCTGGGTATTCATAAAGCCTTTGAAATAACTGGTTCAGGAGTTTCTTACAACACATTTACATATCGTACCATTCATTGCCAAGTTTAAATTTTTACTAAACACAAAATGACACATAACTTACCTTGATTAATACCTCTACTATGTTTGCATGTCCTTCTGATGCTGCCATATGCAAAGGAGTTCTGTCAACCTTCGTCCGTGCATCTCTGCTGACCCCTGCCCTAAGTAATACTTCTGTCGTGGAATAATGTCCATACTGAGCTGCAAGATGGAGTGGAGATGTTCCAAGCTGTAAACAGAAAACAAAAATAAACCACAAGAAGAAAAAAAAAAAAAAAAAAAAAAAAACACATGTACAGGCCATTTTTTATTTCTGTTCAAAAGTGGGAAAAGTCCAGCAAGTTATGTCTTATTACAGTGAGCTGTTGGTAATTTAGAACATTTTGTACCATAAACAACAGATTGAGTCTGGGTCCACAATAATGCAGTGCAGGACACCTCATGTAATTCGAATCGCATTCCTGTGCGAATTACATGCAATGTCTGTGCGGTGCGTTTTGAGCCATAATCGCATCCGCATGAAAAAGGTGCAGGTCCCGAAGTGCATTAGTGTGAACCCAGGCTGAAAGACATTACTGCTAGGAAACAGAGGAATGTTTAATACAGGATATTGAAAAAGTAAAAAATTCCATCCAGCAGTTTTAGGCCTCATGCACACTGGGCTTAAAAAACCACCGCTTTTACAGGTGTTTGGTCTTTTTGTTTTCAGCCAGTAAAGGCACCTCTATGTTAGCCTATGTGTCCATGCATTTACAGTTGTATTAGAAGAAAACACACACACACACGATGCATTTAGGCGTCTTTGAAAATTAATGCATTTAAATGGAAAGAATAACTTAATATTTTAGCCAACAGAATCCATTAACAATCATATACTTGATGCGCCTAAATACGTTTGCTTAAAAATGAAGCCTTAGGTGGTTCATTTAAGCAAAGTTTCTCCTGCCAGGAGTTCTGGAATGCAAAGGAGAAAAAACAATGCAACAGTTCTGTGTGAATTCAACCAAAAGGAATGCAGGGGTGATGAAGGGTTTGGTCACACATATTTGCTGATCAGTTGGACTGCTGCAAATGTTAATGGACATCTGAACATAATTACAGTAAGTTGCTGATCTGAGAGTGGAAAATCAAATACCACATTTTTGTCTTATAAATAGTTACCCAGTCTGTGGTAAAAGGCGCTCCATTTGCCATTAAAATACGAACTTCATCATCTTGCCCAGCCCGAGCAGCTTCTAGAAGCTTCTTTCCCAAGTCTACCAAGGACATCTTAAAATTAAAAAGAAAGAAAGAAATAATGCATGTTTCTCAAAGACATCACGTAAACATCAAGTAAAGGTTTTATATTCTGACAAATAATATTGTGATGAAGTACAGCAATATAAATGCATAAAACGGCATTCATTACCCATGTTTTTCTGTTACAATTGATGTCTTTAGAATCAGTGGTGGTCAACCTAGTAAGCATGGGGGACCTGGACAAATCCAGAACGCCAGACAATAGCTTAGCTTTCTAAATTTGCTATTAGTATACAACATTGTAACGCACCTGTCACGATATGAGTTCTCTGCCAGCCCAGTTATTAATTCCTTGTTTCTGTAATCCCTCCTGGCCATAGGAAGTGTATCCTCCAATTAGTATTCTACTCCTGTGTGCCAAAGGCCCCTAGCTGTAAGTAACACGCCCCCTCCACAAAAGGTCCCAAATTCAATTAGTGTATTCTCCCCACTGTTATCTTGTTTACAGCTACAAATTCAATTATTGTGCTTCCTTCCCTGTCCATCTTGCCCATTCTGGTTTGTGTCTAAATGTATATTCTTCCCCACTGTTATCCCGTTTACAGCTGCAAATCTAATTACTGTGTTTCCTTGACCATCCTGGCCAACCTGCTTTTGCCCAAATGTGATTGTCGCTATCTCCCCTCGGAGATAGCCGGTTCGCACCTCTCCGCGAAGAAGTGCGAACCTTCTGTGGAGGATATCCAGGTCCTGGCGCCACAGGGACACCACACGTTCCAGACGTTTGCACGCTTCCAAACACCGCCTGGACAAAGGCCGTGCTCATGTGAGCGTGACCCATGTCCAGGGGGTGTGCCTCGTTGCCAAGCAACGAGGCATGCCGCCCACAGGCCCGCACCGTTACCAGGACGACCGGGAAGCGTCTAACACCGGTTTAAGAAACCGGTGCTAGTGTCTCCCGTTCGTACTGCTGTGCAGCCACTCAGGGATCCCAGCTGCGGCGGGACTCTAGTGGCCAGACTCTGCCTGAGCCCCATTGGAGAAGGCGGACCCCAGAAGCCACATCAGCTCTGCCTGAGACCACCACACCAGACTCTGCCAGCCCCATTGGAGTAGGGGGGACACCAGAAGCCACACCAGCTCTGCCTAAGACGCTGCCAGCTCTACCCAGGACTATCACACCAGCTCTGAGTGAGTGTATGTCTCCCCTGTGTTATCTGACCTGTTTAGGAACTGCCTCATACCTCCCTGTTGGATTACAAACTGCTGTAGAGACTTTAATATTGCCCACCGGGGCTGGATTACAAAATATTTTGGGCTCTCTCTCTGCACTACTCCTCACTGAGTGACTGTTGTCCGTTTTAATAAAGCTTTAAGTGTTTGCCATCTGCCTTGTGTGTTCTATCCTGCCTAGCCTCCATCACAGCAACCAAGAAAAAAAACTAGTAGTAACAGTAGACAGCCTGCAGCTTAAAGAACTACAGCTTTCTAGACTGCATGTTGTATTTTTCACACATTGAATAGTCATTTTAAGTTTGCTGTTACCCAGGAAAGCTGAAGTAATAGTAACAGGCAGCAATCCTGTACCAGTTGCAGGAACACTTTACATTCCAGCACTAAAAAAGGTCCTTAATTGCAGGCAATATCGGCCCAGTAGATGAACTAAAGTCCTGGTTCAACAGGGAGAGAACATGGGGTGTGTCTAGGAAAGTAAACACTAAACATCAATGCTGGCGCGCGGTTAAATATAATCATTGCTGCAGCCAGGCACGGACCACCAATGCACAATGCTTGGGATGGTGGGAGAGGTTACTACTGTGACATCTAGCTACTGACCAAAGCTACTGGGGGGGGGTACTTTTTACTGCCTACCACCAACAATGCTGGTAATTACAAATACGATCAAAGACCATTAATAGAAGGGAGATTACTGCTGCCACACCAATGCAGGGGGTTACGATTACTGCCAAAGGCACCAATACTGGAAATTATTATATTCCCACGTTAAAACAACCACTTTACTGACCGTGCCCCACCTCCATGTGTTCAGCAGGTAGCCACAAAGTCAACACTGGAGTCCACACATAACACGCAGAGCTTATTTGATACACATCGTGGTCCAGTATACAGAAGAAACCTGTATATCGCTTTTTGCTGTTTACTGAGCCATTTTATTTTTAATAAACTCTGTGGATCATGTATAGATGCAAGCATTGACTTGTACCAACTGGATGGAAGACCAACACCTGCTGCATGACAACAGCCAGAGGGTAGAACTAAGCTCATTTGTTTGGGGAGACTAGTCAGCCATGTTTCTTTTCTTGCTACCATCAAGACATCCCACCTATTTTCATATGTTGGTAACTATGAAGGCGATAATTTCTCTGAGCTCCTACTTTTCAGGTGGGTTAATATGCAACATTAACTTCTCTGCATAAAGCCGCAACCGTATATACTACTACCTGCAGCATGCACGACATTTCGTTTCATGATTACTGAAAATCATTTTGAAGCATAAAAAAAAAAAAAATGTCTGACATGGATGCCAGATATGCAGCTACCTATGGGCCCAGCGCAGTGTTAAATCTTACTAACCCCCTCACCTCCCCTGTATAATTGATTGGCAATGGGAAGAGAGAAAAGGGAGGTCCATGCGGTGAAGTATCCTATCACTGGTGCATTACGGGCCAAGTTTTCAACATATTGTGTGGTAGGTTTGACCAATGGAGCCCTGTCAAGTAGGCTATAAATGCCCCTTGACTTCTAAAGGTGTTTTTTTTCCCCAGTGTAACCCAGTGACGTATGAATGTCAGCTTGTATATTAAACTATTAGTTTTGGGGCCCCCCTTGCAGGTTTCTGGAGGTTTCTCGTGCGCACGCTCTAGTGGGATACTTTTGAACTAAGTAGTGTTAATGTCGACTGCTAAATGGAGATGACCATCACTACTGTACATTACGTGTATAAAAGCTGCACCAAAATTTACAAACTGACAGCTGAAAGATGAGCTTTAAAGAGAAACTATAATGTGAACCTGATGTCCATGGTTTATGTACTTGTTATTGAGTACATCACATTAATACAGTATTTTCTTTATAGATCAGGAATGTCAAATTCAATTTCATCGTAGGCCACCAGGGTGGATAAAAATCGATTTAAAAAAAATATTTTTTATTGAAATTCTGCATTACCTAGACCTTTGCAATAATATCATGCAACATAAAAAATTGGAACTAACACGATTTTATTCTCTAGCATCTTTGCCTTCAGAAAATATATCATGTTTGGGAGTTTTGTGTAATCTTTAAGCCTAAAATTATTTTTTAAAGTGTGCATAAAACGCAAAAATGGTTCAGGCATCAAAAAGGAAAAAAGGATAAGCCCGACATGCCCCTTCCCTGACAAGCACCCAATCAGTATTCATTACACTGCATGGTTACTCCCCCTCCCCGCTAGTCCATGGGTGTGGTGCTGGAGACAGGCAGAGAGGGGAGGAGGAGACAATTTTCACACTCCTGAGAAGATCCTAGAACAGAGGGCCTCTGCAATTTGATGGTATATCTATTCAACTACAGGACTCTATGCGCCACCTACTGTGACCTCTAGCGTCACCTATGTCTGGAGCTATCCGTTTGGCCTTACTATCCATCTGCATAACGAATGCTTCTATCTAAATGACCCGGATCAACTCCCTGAGGCCGATTTCTCTATACTGCTCCGGTGGAAATCCCGGACTGGCTTACCCCTGATCTCGCTCCTATTAGGGTTCCGCTCCCGCAGCATAGACGCCGGGCACCTTCTAACAGAAACCTGCCTGGTCCATCATCCCTGGATCCTCTGCTGGGTGAGCCCTGATACAGATCAATCTTATTCTTATCGACCGACGCTACTGTTACTCACCTTGGCCATGCTCTTTGTAGTAACCGTGCTACGTGGGCCTCTCTAAGGATAGCGGGATAGATTTAGCTACTCATCTAAGGTCACTATACAGACATCTTCGGTTATCTTGGCGCTCACCGCTCTCAGGCTTGGCCTATATTTTTATTATTCTAATGTTATTTTGGTTAGAGGTTACCCTTGTTTGTGTGCTGTATTGTTTTTAACTTCATTATATGAACATTACAGCAGAGGTGATGGGGGTACGGTTGGTGCGTAGATACCTCTGCGGAAATGGCTTAAATTATTATTATTATACAGTATTTATATAGCGCCAAAACATTTGCTCAGCCCTGTACATTATAGTGGGAGACAGTACATGAGACAGTACAGCAGCAATACAATACACAAAAAACTAGCTACAAGTATGCCTAAATTTCTCCTTTTGTATCTGATATTGTTAAGGATCGTATTAAGACTCTTATGCAGAGTTCAGTATCTTTCAATTTCAGATCTCATACATTTATGTATACACACACACACACACCTCGTTGATGTCTTTTGTACTCCGACTATATACGCCTTTGATGATAAACATCGGTCCTAATTTAGTGTTGAGAATCCCCTCACTTCATTGTCTGATTTGTTGCATTTACATTATGTGGGTTTAGCTCCATCCTTGCTGAGATTACTTGGTTTTCCCCATATAGGTTTCAGGACCTCTGTCTATCACCTGAGTATTGGGGTTACAGATCTCTGTAGGCTTATTTTGCCAATTGCCTTCATTAGTTATGATGTGCCAAGATTATTTTCTTGTCTTCTGTTCTTCTTTTTCTCTATAATCTTTATTAGGGGTAGTGAAACCCCATTCCTTCTCTAATCTCTCTGTATCGTATTTTTGGGATGAAGCTTTATCTTTGAATCCCCCTACTCCTCCTCCCTCTTTTTTTTTGCCATGGGGGGTCCCCAGCCTGTGACCTCTCTGAAGCTCTTTTAATGCTCGTGGCTTGAATGAACCTCTAAACTTTCTCAGATCTTTTGTACAGCTTTCTCACAAGTCCAATGTAGGTCTGGCCTTTTTTCAGGACACTCATTTCCACACTAATCATATCCCTACCTTACGTAACAAGTACTACACGCCATGGTTTCATAGCAC